CTGATTGGTCTTCATGGCAGAATCTCTTGGGAAGAAGGTAGTTCTCCTTTGTGCTAAATGCCTTTTAATAATGGCTTCCCCGCAGCATTTATTTCAAAGCAGATTAATTAGCTTAACTTTTTGTGTGTGCCAGTAACATTATATTATATCACAGAGAGAAGCTAAATGAACTCTGTCAAATAAGTGTAGCGGGTTGTTTTGCTCAGCCTAAATATCATTTGGGTTAAATTCTTTAACTTTCTATCATTAAAAATTCACACAAAGACAAACACACACGCACACACATTTTCCAACCACACATACATGTGCATGTGAAATTTTAAATCTCTACATTCAGCAGTTCAATTACATCTCATTCTGATAACATTATTGCAAAGCATTTATTATTACTTCAATACAAAAAGCTTTCGATCTGCCTAGAAGCATTTAAGTTTATATATGGCATAAATCGGATGAAAAGAATAGTACTTTGTTCAGCTGCTTAGTGTATGGTATGCACATCTGCAGTCAACAAAAAAAGACGCATCATTGTAATTTTCCTACCTTCAGGGGTCCTAACAAACATAACAATATTATTGGGACCAAATCAAAAGCAAATGCAACAGATATTTCCTGACACCTAAAGTAACACAATTCATGGGAAATTGATTCTACTTCATTGAATGGAACATTAATCTAACTTCTATAAAATATGAAGAATGAATTTTTTTAAGATTTCCACTGTGAATTTTCAATATAAAAAGATAGGGTAAAATACATTTCTTTCTAGATTATATACAGAGCAATTTTTTTACAGTATAGTAAAAAAAATCAATATTACTTCACACTGTTTAAAATAAGCTAACCACCTCCATATTACAAATAGGAAGTCAAGGAAGTGAATCAGTAGTATTCCCTAAAGTTGGTGCTACCCAGATCTGTGTTTCCCCAAAAATAAGACAGGCTCTTATTTTCTTTGGACCCTCGAAATAAGCATTTGGCCTATTTTCGGGGAGGTCTTATTGTTTTTGAGGTGCAGTAGGGTAATCACCTCATGGTTGCTACCGTGTTGCAATATTTTGGGGAGGGCTTATTTTGGGGGGAGGGCTTATTTTAGTGCATGTCTCAAAAACCCTATTGGGTTTATTATCTGGGGAGGTCTTATTTTTGGGGAAACAGGGTAGAAATTGGGCCCAATATATTATACAACAAATATATTGAAGGATAGCTGAAGTGGTATTCAAGTATCCAGCAAGCTTTTTCACACATTATGCTATGTTAAGCCATGATTTGACATATATACAAACTTTAGGCTCTGACAACCAATTTCTCTGGCATACCGTGCCAGCATTTTCTTTAATTCTGACCATATCATGTTACATTAAGTTTAGACAAACAAGATTTACAGATTATTTTAAAAACATTTTTTTCATTTTATGTTCTCATGCCTAACATAATTATAGAATTTATAACTAAAAATCAAGCTATAAGGAATGGGAACATCCGAGAGATAGATTCAAGAATAAGACTTGTTCGAAACTAGTTTTTATTATAATAGTAATATAGTTATTTTGTCATTAAATGCATGTGTGTCCATTTCCATATACTAACACAAAAGTTTTAAATGCATTGTTTTTGAAATTAAATTAAAAATGATTTTTTTCTTTTTAAAATGTACAACTTTTAAAAAAGGATTGATATTTTTGGTTGAACTGAGAATTTGTAATGAGCCACAAATATTTTAATTTAGTAGGGAAAATGTTTGAAACCACATAACTGAGCCATACTATTCATTATACTACTTGCTGATTTGTTCTGAATTAATGAGGTCAATCAGGGAATGCTGTTGCAGCACATTCATTCTTTATTCATTTCAAGAGAGACTGTGCACACACAAGATTCAATGAAGTGGACAGACAGTGCTCAGCTATGGGCTTATTTGGGCTGTTCCTATGGACTAACAACATTCACTAGTGAAATGTTTTGTTACGCAGAATTCTGCTACATCAGCTCAATGTAAGGCATATATTTATATATCAGCATCATGCAGAAATAATTCCACAGATAAATCCTCAGGAAAATAAAATAGGAAAAATCAAAAGAAATAAAGACCAGATAAAAGGTAAAGGTTCCCCTCGCACATATGTGCTAGTCATTCCCAACTCTAGGGGGCAGTGCTCATCTCCATTTCAAAGCCGAAGAGCCAGCACTGTCCGAAGACATCTCTGTGGTCACGTGGCCAACATGACTAAATACCCAAGGCGCAGAGAACGCTGTTACCTTCCCACCAAAGGTGGTTCCTATTTTNTCTATCTCATATATTAGTTTCACCTTTTAAGTTGCATTACTGAAATAAATGAACTTTTGCACGATATTCTAATTTTTCGACTTTCACCTGTAGATTCTTGTTCTCGTTTTTGTTTGACAAATTCCAATAAATAAATAAATAAATAAATAAATATAGTTTGTAAGTATCTTGTTTCCATTGCATTTATTTTTATGAAATACCACACTCTTACTTTCCAATAGTAAAATGGGCAGAAGCACATTTATATATACAGCCATTTTTGCTTTATTCAAGAAACAGCCATTCCTCATAAGAGACTACCTTATTTCCACTATCTTTCCACTTACACGCCTTAACATTTCTCTATCCAGATTTATAAAAGCAGCTTGTCTTAAATACAGCTATTTTAACATCACCACACTTATTTATTTTCTATCAATGTATTAAATAATGATTATGCACCATCAAATGGTGTTGACTATTAGCAACCAGATAAGATTTCTTCCATGAAAATCTGTCCCTAACCTGATCTTTCTAACAGTGTGTCAATTGCAACTGTGCTGTCCAACTTGCTGCTGGTCATCCTCTTCCTGTTTTTGTTTCCACCTTTCCGAGCATTTGCAGTTGGCTGCTATGGTATTGACAGGCATACATGTACCGCAAGAGTGTGGTTGAGCATGTGTCCTGTGAGTAAGTGATATGGAACCCCAGGTTCTCGTACTCCATAGCTGGGTTGCTCAAAAGCAGTGGGAGTCATTGAAAGTGAATTGGGTGGTCAAGTAAATTTTCTTAAATAGATAAAATGACTTACAGGAGCAACTTGTAATCTTTCCTGCTAGCTTTTCCATTGACTTTGTTAATAGGAAGATGGCAAGGGAAGTCACAAAAAGGTGATTGATTTTGGGATCCTGCAACTGTCATGTGAGCCAGTTGCTAAGTGCCTGGATTGTAATCATGTGATGATGAGGATGCTGAGATGTCACTGAACAAGTGGTCATTAAAAGAGAATTAACTGTATAATAGTTTCCATTATCTTTATTTGCTGTTGTCATCATCTTTTATGCATTTTTCCTGACCAGTCTGATTCTACTTCTCCATCTATTCAAGATCTATTTTTGAGACTACCAAATAATGTCCTATCATTCAGAATTTTTGAGCACCATTCTATCCTTTCCTATTTTTAAAAAAATCATAATTAAATAATCATGATTTTTATTCACATTTCCTGCTGTGTATTTGCATGAATAGTCTTATGTTTAAACCACATATTTGAAGAAAAAAATCCATACTCATCAAACCATCACTATTCTTGTTTGCTCTATGGTTTTCAAATAAACCACTCACTTTTTCTACACTCTCTCTTCCTCCCATCCATCCATCCATCCATCTATCCCATGTAAGAATAATTTCCTCTCTAGATTGCATTCATTCAGAATATTGCTTAATTCCTCCAAAATCTTAACTAATTCTTCCATTACCATCAGTCACTGTGGCATAATATATTACTATATTGGTGACACTCCAGAATGGTGGCACTATATTGGTGGCACCTAAATGACACCAATTAATACATAATCAAACCTCTACCTTCACTTCCTTGAATGTATTTATTCATTCTATTCTACTATATTAGATTACCTTCATTCATTCATTTTGTTTCTGAATTCATTCTGTTTGCTATTCATTTCTACCATAATCTTTCATATGCCATGAAACATCATTAGATGGGCTCACGTTGGCCATATGCCTTTTTTTAAGGCAGAAAGGTATAGATTAAATTAAGTTACCTGTACCCTGTGCCATTACCAATATCCTCTGATAATAGGCAGTATTAGTCAGTATGAGCACATTCTGATTAGTCTTCCACATGCAAAATTAAAGTCCAGATTTTACCCCCAGTATGCTCATGATATTCTATGAAAGTTTAGATCTCCAATCTATAGAACTGATTTGTAGGGCAAAATACTTTTGATCAGATCTCAGCAAGTAAGAAATCTATGCAGTATATTGACACATACTCAAGACACAGCCGCAGGAGCTGTGCTAAATCAATGGGAGGGCAGCAAGACAACTGGAGTCAGTGGAAGAAGGTTCTATAAAGACTGATGTCTCAGGAATATCCAAGCACAATTAGGGAATGGGTGGACTGATGGAATAACTAGTGCTTAGGCAAGAAAGCTCTGGGATAACTGGCAAGACAGGCAGGCTGACACAACAATCCACATCAGATTCAAGAAGACCCTGGGATAATCAGAGGAATGAGCAGGTTGTTCAGTAGCAGCTATGGGAAAGCCCTTGGAAAAATTTGGAAGATGTACGGACCTGCAAGAGACACTATGTATTGGTAGTTGCAAAAGCAAGATGGGTGGCATAAGAAAACCATTCAGATATAGGTTTCATTTGGATTTAATAAAAATATCATCTTCTAATGAGTCTGAAATATTTTAAATGTGTTGACTTTTAGTCATAGTCCTTTGGGAATAGCTTGGAAGGATTGACAATGGCCTATGGATAATGTAGGCCTATGGATAACGTACCGTTACGTCAGTTAGCAAAAGACCATCCGATAAACTCTTTGCCACAACTCTTAGTAACTTTTCTTGTAAAATAAAAGCAAACATTGTATTTTAATTAAATAATTAATGCCTGTTTTATTATATAATGATATCCTGTAGTAGTTAGTGAAAACAAAAGAAAAAAAACAAGGAATACCAGGTTTTATAATCATGCTTACCTAAAAATGTGTTGGATATATATTCAGAGACTTGATTGCCTGATCGGCTCATTTCAGATAAGTGGGTTAGCTCTCGATTGAGCATTCTTTTAAACTGTAAAGAGAAGCAAAACAGTGTATGTCAATGGCCAGTAAATGAGTATATGGTACAAGAATTGTTTAAGAACCTTTTTAACAGGTATGTTCAAATTTTCAATTCAATTTACCACCTTAGGTCAATGCATAACGAGAAATAAAATCAGATTCTCAGGCAAAATGTCCAAGTAGGCTTCATCAAATGTATTATTCCACGCATCATTTTACATAAAGAGATACTGAAAAATTGGTTATGGATATGGATATGAGTAGAGATCAATTTCATTGCTCTTGTCCTAGTTAAAAATGTATACTTAAATGTACACATATTCCACCCATGTCCTCATGAAATAAAGAGAACAATTTTCTTAAATTCCTACTTTTTAAAGTGAAGTCAACAAGCTATCTACTTCCAGTGGAAAATAATGAAAATTACCTTGCAACATTAGACAATTCTATAGGCAGGAGTAAACCGTAACTCAATTAGTTGTTGTTTAGTTACTTAAACATATGTATATCTAAATTTACAAACCTAAATTTTAAAATAATATAATAAAATAAAATAATTAGTGATCCAACTGCTTTGGGAACTAAGCATTCTGATTTTATTGTGGATGTGGTCAATTTATAAAGCAAAACATGTACAGGTTAAAAAAAACTTATGAGGATCATGTAAAAAATAGAGAAACTGGCTTTCTCAATTTGATGACCTGTAGACAGATTACACTTAATGTCCACAATCCTCAACCTGCTGATTGAAGAGCATGAGTTGATGATGAACACTCTTGCAGGCACTTGGGAAGGCTGGAATAAGCTATTCCAATTATCAAAAAGCATGGCCTCCAATAGTTTCATCAGTTTTCTAATTGCGTGATTTCATTAGTGGCAGACAATCAGGCTTCAGGCTTCCTCAGCCTTGCTATCAGTTTTGCAAGCTGGGGTTCATAAGCTTTGGAGGACAGTATTGATTGGGATTTGAGTTTTATTAAGCATCTTGTGTTTTAACAATGAAAGTACTGCAAGGTTTTCTGCAATATTCTTTTACT